ACCGTAACTTTTTTTTTTTGTCTTTTTGAGACAGGGTCTCACAATGCAGCTCAGGCTGGCCTTGAGCTCACTTTGTAGCCCAGGTTGGCCTCAAAGTCACCACGATCCTCCTGCCTCAGCCTCCCGAGTGCTGGGATTACAGCCATGCATCACCACACCCAGCTTCTTTGGCTTTTTAATAGGCTTTTTTCTTTTTTTTTTTTTTTTTGTCTTTTTCCTTTTTTATGGGTACTGGGGATCGAACTCATGACTGCCTGCTTACAAGGCAGGCGCTTCTGCCGCTGAGCTAAATCCCCAGCCCTTTAATAGGCTTTCTAACTGGTGATATTTCACTGTGGTTTTGGTTTGCATTTCCTTGACTAGTGATACTGAGCATTTTGTGTCTTCTCTGGAGAAACAGCTAAGTCTTAACCTCCCACCCCTTGGTGGTGAGCACTGAATCGAGGCCTTGAGCATAGCCTCTGCTGATGGACCTTTTAAAATCTGTCACTATTGCTATTGAGCTCCTTATGCATACTAGGTATCAGTCCTTGTCAGATGCACCATTAGCAAATGTTTTCTCCATTCTGTAGGTTGTCTATTTGTTCTGTTGATTTCTTTTGCATAGGAGAGAACCAATCTATCTATTTTCACTTTTGTTTCCTGTACTTTTGGGGTCTTATCCAACAGTCCCTTATTCATTCTAGTGTTCTACGCTGTTCCTGTTTTTCTTTCTTTCTTTTTTTTTTTTTGTACTGGGGTTTGAATGTACGACTGCCACTTGCCAGATAGCACTTATGCTGCTGAGCTAAATCCCCGACCCTATGTTTTCTTCTAGTAGGAAAACTGCTTTCCTAAACAGGAGAGCCACAGCCTGGGCTGCTTGCAGCTGGCTTTCCCTTGGGCTGCTCCCTTCTGGACCACACCAATGGGACCTGGGTGTGTTCCCAGATGGCAAATGTCTGCACACAAAAAACAAAAGTCAGAGCAGTCCTGAGGAGAGAGGGGGACTGGCCCGGAAACCCCAGGATGAACGCTTCGAAAGCAGCATGAGTGGGAAACAGAAGGGATGGGGAAAGCCAATTATAGGCAATCTGATGATATGATATTGTTAGTTAACAACTAAAATACATCTTTGAGGAGGCTGAGGTAGGAAGACTGTGGAGTTTGAGGTCAGCCGGACCTCATTGCAAGACCCTGTAACAAAAACAAGGAATAAATAACCTAGCAATGCAGATATCTGTGCAAACACAGATAATCTTTTGCTGTACACTGATATTAAGCAGCCAGAAGAAAGTAGGGGCCGAGGAACGAATGACAGTTTCTACTTACTCACTGCCTTTCAGTGGAGCATCTCTAGCACATTATAGGCAGCTCTTTAATCCCCCTGCAGGAAGATGCTGATTTGAAGGCTTCCCTGGGGAGCAAGAAATAAGCCCCAGGATCACACCTCAGGCCCAGCTCTCCACTCTTCCTTTGTTGCAGTCAGCTCAGTCAAGGTAAGCGCAGAAATGTGGACAGGGCCCAAAAATCAGCACAATGAAGTGTACCAAGAGCCCTAAAGATATTACACTCTTTGCCTGGTTCATTTTACTCCTAAGAATATGTGCCAAGAAAAAAGTTTCACAAGACACAATAAACACATTTCCTTGTAACATTATTCCAGAAACAATTTAAATGTTCAACAGAGGATTTAAATACTGATGATATGATATTGTTAGCTAACAATTAAAATACATCTTTGAGGAAGTTGAGGTAGGAAGACTGAGTTTGAGGTCAGGTTGGACCTCACAGCAAGACCCTATAACAAAAACAAGGAATAAATAACCTAGCAATGCAGGTATCTGTGCAAACACAGAAATATCTTTTGTTGTATACTGATATTAAAATGCACAATGCCACACACCCCTGGTTCTTATCTGGGGGTACACGTGTGGTGCCTGAGGAGGAAGTAGAGATGGAGACAAAGCTCTGGAAGTATTCTGTTTTTATGATTTTTAATTTTTTTCTTCTGTGCTGGAAATTAAATCCAGGGCCTCATGTATGCTGAGCACACAATCTACTGCAAAGCTACATTCTTAGCTGTAGATATCTTCTTTTGTTTCTAAGACAGGAAGAAAAAAAAATTCCAACAATCCAAGTGTTGGAGGTGGTGTGTAGCTCAGTGATTATGAGGACTGAGGTTCACTCCCAGCACCAAGAATAAAACAAAACTGTGCCTTGAAAGCCAAGTGTACCAGTGGGGTACAATCCCACAATCCACTCTGGGAAACTAAAGCAGGAGGATCACGAATTTGAACCCAGTCTGGGCAATTTAGCAATTTAGTGAGAACTCTCATAAAACAAAACGCCAACCTAAAAAATGTACCCTACACAACAAAACCCCCACCCTGCAGCAGTCCACCCTAGCAGCTCACTGGCTTCGCTTCCCTAGAAAATGGAGGGGTTGTGCAGTGCACAGGAAGAGGGGGAGAAGCACTGAACCCAGAATAAGCAGTTACTCTGGGTTACAGTTGAGTCCTCTTTTTTTTTCTTTACACTTTTTTTTAAACCAAGGTGATTACATTTGATTCTTTTTTCTTTTTATCGGTACCGGGGATTGAACTCAAAACCGCCTGCTTGCAAGGCAGATGCTTATGCTGCTGAGCTAAATCCCCAGCCCCGAGTCCTCTTTTTGCTTGCTCTTTTTACTTAATTTTTAAGGTAAAAATAAGGCAAGAAACCAGCCTTACCATCTTGTCTGTCCTGCAGAACAGCTCAGGGCCTCCTTTAGGCTCCATTGCAGGCAGACCTGGGCTGTGCAGGGTAGGAGGCCACCCTGTGACCGCTTCATGGCCTCACTGTCCCTGAAGATCCTTAAGATTCTACAGTTTGAGTGGGGTGAGTGAAGCCATCACTGGGCGAAAATAAAATCAGCAAACTCCACACAAGAGTACTGCCTTGGTCAACACTGAAAAAGGGCCCAGGACTGAAACTCCTGATAACTGCTCTCCACTCATTTAAAAATCAGCTTTAGCTACCAAAATGTAAAGTATTAGTTTTATTAAAATGCAAATCAATCAAGTAATGTCTTGCTAGTAACAGTTGAATTGCAGTATCCGTGTCAATTAAAATAGTTTCCAATTTATTCTTGGCTGGAAGGAGGACGGTCTTCTGCATTTTAAAATGCAAGCCTCACTTTAGTGAGAACTCTGCCAGTTCCTTCTTTTGCATCTGTTTTTAGCTCATTTTAATTAAATCTGCTGGACTCCACAAATATTTTTGCAGCACGTGTTTAAACCCTTTCTTTCATCAGATAGTGGCTTCTTTCGGAATGTGGATGAGCTCAGGCTCATAAAAAGTTCAACAGGGAAGTCTGGAACCCACAGGCCAAGTGGACTGGATTGCATGTTCTGTATTTTCCAAGGTGGTGAGTTTTGAGGGCCAGGGATTTAGCTCAGAGGCACAGTGCCTGCCTGGCAAGCGCAAGGTCCTGAGTTCAATTCCTGATACAAAGCCAAAAAAAAAAAAAAACGGTGACTTCCAAAAGGGGTGCATGTGGGGGACTCCAATTTCTGTTGCTCTTCTGGGTCACCGGCGACAAACTAGAGATTAAGCACTTACGTGACAGTCAAGCCCAAGAGGTAACTGCTGAGACAAGAGAAACAATCACATGCACCAGGACCAAGGAACAGGAGCTAGGAAGCCCTCTGCCCCGCTACCTGCCCCGCCCTGGGCTCCGGGGACACATTTATGTAAAAACTCAGCTGTGATTCAGATTCTATTCCGGACTCGCTTCCTTTGGAGCTTAACGTTTAGGTGCTGCATGGCAGTTCCTAAACACACAAAGATACAGGATTTTCGCACATGAAAATCCGTTTTTACATTATAAAAAATATCAAAACCTCACTCCACAACTGCACTTAGTTGCCTGGGTCCAACATTTTTTCTCTGATTACATGGCTCTACGTTGGACACTTGGGCAGAGGCGCTGGAAGATGGTCAGTGGTGGACACCGGTAGCCTGTACACACAACACTCATGCATGGTAATCACCACTGCATATTGACCGCAGGCCTATAAATCCCCTGTATAGGGATTTAATTTACAGCTTTTGACCTATGGATGAAAAACAAGTGAATCACCTCCTCTTGCTAGATTTATACCAGAGTTAACCTTAATAAAGTGATTTAGGAATGGAGAGAACAGAAAAGGACCTGGAAGAATCTCTGTAAGTGAAATGAGGAAACAGGAGTCAGAGATCTGTATTTAGTGGACCTACAGGCAAGGATCACTGAGTCACAGTCTCGTGGGCCAGCTTACAGGGCTTTGCAGACTCCCTGTTCTCCGAGCTTGATAAACCAGTGAACATCCACTGAAAGAAGCATCCCCTTCATACTTCTTTTGTGAAGTTAATTAAAAATTAGAATTGGCTAGTGTGGAGGCACAGCCATAATCCAAATTATTTAGGAGGCTGAGGCAGGAGGATTCTAAGTTAAAGGTTTCCCTAGGCAATTTAGCAGGACTCTGTCTCAAAATAAAGTCTGGGGACGTAGCTTTGTGGTAGAGTGCTTCCCTACCAGGTGTGAAGTCCTGGATTCAATCCCCAGCACTAGCAAAAAAAAAAAAAAAAAAAAAAAAAAAAAGAACCAAAATTAGGGGTGGGCAGTTAGTGCAGATCAGATCATGTGCTTAGCATGTGAGGGCCTAAATTTGAGCCCCAACATGACACATACTCAGAATAAAACCAGCAAACTCTACCTCAAAGAGTGCTGTATACATACGTTGTAGCAATCCATTTCTGGCTGCAGATGTGGTGTGGAGATCTGCATGCAGGAGGGACAGTTCCACGCCCATGTGCTCTGCAGCACTGCTCACAGCAGCCCGAGTGTGGAAGCTGAGCCTCTGCTAATGGATGAACAAAACGTGTGGTTTTATATAGCATGAGGCCATCCGTTTACCTGGAAAACAGCCCTCCAGATGAGCCACACTAGTGAGCCTGGGTGAGACTTTCTCTGTGCACTTAACAAATCACACGTGGGCAGTGGTGACAGCACTCTTTATTTGTGATGGGGAAAGGACTAGGGAGAAGGCACGTGTGTGAGCGAGCACCTTGCCCAGGACTGATGTCCCCGTCAAGCCACGGCTGCCTCCATCGGGATGGCGTTGGGAGGTCCTGTAGCCAAGGGAGGGCAGCGTCAGTCCCTGTGGCCAGTGGCAGGAGGGTTGAGCTGCCCAAAAAGAGATCGATACAACTCTGTCCTGGAAGACAAACGAAGCAAATTGGTTAACACGCTGGTTAACTTTTCAAGGTGAAAACCAAGCTGGGAAATACCCTCATCTGTTTCTTCAATTGAAAACACAGCCATGTAATTAAAAAACGCATCTTGCAGCCTTTATTCACAAATACAACACAAGAAAGAGACCCAGAAGCAGCCAGTCACATCGTAAAATATGTAAATAGTGCGGTGTGGCTGGATACCCTGTCTCTGGGGAATGAGTCCTCCTAAGTTTGCCCTTTACAGACAGGCTCTTCAAGTAGGAAAACAAGATTGAATATTTTAATAGAATGTATGAGACTGCCACACGATGAGGAGGATTCAATCAGACATGGGATGCAGGGGGATATAATTTAGTTTTCATACATTTTCTTGGACTTGGCAGTACTTGAAAAACAATGAAAATGACCCAGCAACAAGATTCCAATTACCATCATATGTGCGGTAGCCCAGCCAGGTTCCTCTCTCCCCTTCCCTAGTCTCATCTACCACAGAATGTGATTGGCTAATTTATTTCTAAAGTTGGGTTTTGACATTTAAAAAAATTCTAACATGCCAGCATCTTCTTGGGTTTCTGAAAATTGGGTAAATTAATCCCTTCTAAACTCTGTCCCTGTTGTGGAACACACAACACAGACCTGGCTGAAACCATCTGCCAGAAATCCTCAAAGGGGCCTGGGGTCCTTCCTGCCACCATGCCAGCTGCTCTAGGACACTTTCCTTTTGGGGATCAAGTGGGCGCACAGTAGGCTATGGTGATGGGCGGGAAGCGGGTAAGCCCACAAGCAAGCTGGACCAGCCCTGAGACGTCCTCATCTAACCAAGAACACTGTCTGCCATCTTGTTAAAAGAGTCTTCAGAAACTTCTCCAGCTGAGGGCCATCAGCAATCCTGACTTTACAAAAAAACAAAAACCTCAATCTTCCAAACATGTATTTTAGTTCACCAAGACTTCAATGCAAGGAACTTGCTAGTCTTTCTGAGGTTACCCTGCTTTGGTTTGGGGAGGGGCTGAGGTACTATAACAAGAAATAGCATGTCAAAGCTTTTAGAAAATCAAAAAGTGAAAATCTTTTAAGAAACCATGGGAGTCATGCTGTGAACGAGCTGTCATGCTGGGGACCACAGGTCAGGCAGGAAAGTGTGTGTAGGGAAAAGACATCTCTTTTTTTTGTGGTACCAGGGATTTAACTTACAACCTTGTGCTTGCCAGGCACGCGCTTACGCCACTGAGCCAAATGCCCAGCCCCACATCTCCAATTTAACTACAGAAATTTTACTGCAGAATTTGGCGGCACCTCACCCTGAACTACTGACCAGCCTGGAGGCCTCCAGACAAAAGGACACTGCTGGCCTGAGATCCCCAGCCTCTTTTGCCTCCCTGCAGATCTGCCTGCCTGCCTGCCTGACTCAGCCTCCACAGGCCAGGCCCCAGCTCCAGAGGCCACAATGGCAAGGCCCCGCCCGCCTCACTTTGCCATACTGTGCCTATTTGTCGAGAAACTCAAGTCTCTCCAGCCACTTCACCACCACCAATAAAATTAAATGGCACAAAGGAGACAGTGGCCATGACTAAAAGGAGGCGTGACTTTAAGACGACACTGCTGGTGCAGAGGCTGCCTCCCCTGCCTCCTTGCCTGCACCAGCCCCTGGGCCAAAGGCAGCAGTTACTGTCCCCAACAGGGTTCACAGCCAGGAGCAGAGAGGGACGTGACCACGGCGTGATAGGACATCATTCCACACTCAGGTGCGCAAAGCTGACAAACACACAGCTGCTCATGGCAAAGCATCATGGAAGCTGAGTGGTCCTGGGTCCTTAAGATATTTGGAGAGGGGGAGGGGGAGGGGTAGGCGAGGCTACGCATACATTCCCAAAGCACTCAGCTCATCAGTGGCCACCGTACCCCCAAAGCCTCCGCTATAGACCTGGTGATGGCCTTGCAGCTGCCTCTTCTTTTTTTTTTGTACCAGGAATCAAACTCATGACCTTGTGCTCGTGAGGCAGGCGCTTATAGTGTTGAGCTAAATCCCAGGCCCAAAGGATGCCTCTTCTCCCAGCACCTCCTGCCCTCATGCCCTAGGCTCCAGGACAGCCAGAGTGGACCCTCCTTGGGGCCAGGGCACCCTCAGCACCAGACCTTCTTCGCTATCCAGGGCTCCTGCACTGCGGGGTTTCACACTGGTGAGGGACTGGCACCACCAGGTCACAGGCAGCTCCTACATGGGAATAGGCTCACCAAGGCGTTGGCCCCTCACACATAGCAGGCTGCCATGTTGTTTTTCAGAGTAAATTTAAATTGTCACCAAGAATATAATTATCAGAATGCTGTGAATATTAACTTTTTTGGTCTTTTTCATTTTTATCGGTACCGGGGATCGAACTCACGACCGCCTGCTTGCAAGGCAGGTGCTTATGCCACTGAGCTAAATCTCCAGCCCCTAAATCTTTGGGTTGTTTTTTTTTTTTGTCTTTTTCATTTTTATTGGTACCAGGGATCGAACTCACGACTGCCTGCTTGCAAGGCAGGTGCTTATGCTGCTGAGCTAAATCCCCAGCCCCAAATATTAACTCTTAAAAACAAAGCCCTCACATCCCATCTGTAATGTACCCAGTGGAACTGCTGTGCCACAATACTTTCCACCACCATTCACACACACAGACAAGCACTCCATTTGGGAATTTTATAGCATCATTTTCTTTTTAAACTTGTATTTCCATTTGACTTTTCCCTACAGATTTTTGTTTTAATATAATTGTTTTATGCTTGACGATCTTTTATTGATCACTCTATTATACTTGTTGGCCACAAAAACAGGTATGTAAGTGGAATGGTCCTGAAACTTTAGAAATTTAAAAATGGGAATGCAAATATTTTAATTTCTTGACACAGTAAGTCACTTTAAATGATTAAAATTTTTCTTCTGGATTGGGTTATCACTGCATCTAATTATACAGAAAACGCCTTTCCTTTCTTCTATTGCTCATAGGTCTGTAGATGTATATGATTTACTGCCAGAATGAAAAGGATTCGGCAGTAATCTATTTGGTTTTCTTTGATTTTTGTACTTTTTGTGTAGTTATATGTGCTGAAAAGTCCTGTCACAAGAAAAGGAGTTGCATCATGACATTGTCACTGGATTCTTCTCATTCTTTCTGAATTACTGTACACAGCAACCCTTTCCTCTCAAAAATCCCACACAGTGACCTCCCACCAGAAACCGCTGACACCCTGCACATGTTCTCCTGCAGTGTGGCCCAGGCATCGTCTCTCACCCAGGCCTCGGCTGTTTCTTTCTCAGTCGCCTCGCCTGCACCCCTGGCCTGTGCTTGGGCCCTGCATGTACCCTCTTCAGAGTCAGGTCCTCCTGCACAGGACTGCTTCAAACTCGGTGGCTACTCTCTTCTGGGAAAGTCTCCATGCACCCAGGATGAAGACTGAGTCCTGACTTTCCCTAACCTCAGGTGCTGGACCTGGTGTCAGTGCTGCAGGAAAGACAGAAATACCTGCATATAAATAAATGTGACCTAAGCCCTGCACCATCTCAAGGAAAACACCAAAACCAGGCGACCAAAAGGGGTACTGGGCCGGGTGACTGCTGCTACTGCAGGTGCACGTTCCCTGTGGCACCTTCCTGCCAGGGCTAAGCTGTGCTGAGAGGCTGCACCGTCAATCCTTCAGGCTAACCTCGCCTCCACCGCATTCTCAGGGTAAGTACAGAGCTGAATACTTCCGGTCCCCTTAAGGCTATGAGTAATGAACCTGGGCTTCTTAAAAAAAAAACAAAGAAAGAGAGAAAAAAAGAAATACCCGAACTCCAAAACCCAATTCTGACTTTGGATCACAGGAAGAACACAGCTTTGAACCCTGGTCTGCACTGCGTCCCTGCTTTGCCCTTCCCCTGGCACCGCGGTCTCTGTGGCCCGTGGCAGCGCCCAGTAGGAAGTGTGTTATTGCTGGAATCAGGCAGGACAAGAAGCGATGAAGTAATTAACAGGACGTGCACCTCAGGTAGAAGGTCGATAGAGGGGCTCTTCCTTGAATTAAAATTTAACTCACCCTTTATTGCAATCTACAAAAGCAAGTAATGAGCACTAACATTTTTATTTCTTTTAAACTGTCATTTAGGCTGTAGAGGGGATAATTACCTATCTCTAGTGTAGTAAGGTTTTATAACCCTTAGTGAGGCATTTTCTAATTTAATATTTTTACTATATTATCATAAAACCTGTTTCTGGAAAAAAATGATCATGGATTAGCAGCCATTTTCCATAAAGACAGAATCTGTGTGTGTGTGTGTGTAAGCATGTGTTAGGATTCAGCTTATTTACTGTGTTATTCTTCCAAAGAGACACAGAGTAGGCACCCTGTCACCAGCTGTGAGCTGCGATCACTTCAGTGCTGAGTGAGGTTTTCCACGGCCCTAAATGAAATGGGCGGCACGTGTGTAATATCCGAGTCCCCAGACGGATGCAGGAACCCAGATATGTTCCCTGCAGTTCCACACGTGCGCTCCTCACAGGACCGCAACACAGATCATTGTCTTTCACGATGTTATTTGGGCAAACAGCACAAAGGAGCATATTAAACCTGCAAATGATCTGTGTGAGACTTTCAATTTGCTAGGTCAGTAGCTTGCAGCACTGGGGACTCTGGAGGAACCCTACCGCCTGCTCTGGCAGGACTCTTTCCGCCTGCCAGGACCTGGGAGCTCTCAGCTGCAAGGTGTCCCCCGAGGTGCTACCCGTGGTGCCGATGGCCCAGGCAGGCAGACAGTGCAAAGCAAGTAGTCCTGCTCTGCTCTCCAAGGGAGCCTCCTATGGTCTGGCAGCAAGTCTGACACACCAGTCCTGCACGTGCCAGCGGAGATAACAACGTTGCCCTCCCCGTTGAAATTACACATGGCCTTTGCTGCTGCTGGGGTGCGGAGGTAACCCAACACACCACACTTGGCTAGCCTGCCCCTTCCTGCCCGCCGCACGCT